ACAAACTTTTGATACACAGTAATTTCACAGTCAATACGTTTGTCGTCACTTTCAACTTAACTACTTTTATAACACACGCTATAAATCACAGCAATTTACAATCTCGAAAACTCACACTAGCTCGAAACGGAATCGTAAATTGCCCGGAACTCTCTTCATTCAATCCCTCAGGCTATTCTCTGCCAGGCTTACATACTAAAAAGTAGGGCGTCTTGAACAAACTCGGTCTTCCCCGATAATTCATGATCATTCGAGAAATTCATCATGTGACTTTCACTGTCATAACAGTATACAAACTGATATGATAAAAAAGGTTGGAGAGTAATACATAATTCCAAAAAATGAGATGTGGTGAAACAACTAAATGTAGGATTAATTTATAATGCATGCTTTACAACTTTTATTTTTAAATAATTTAAATGCAAGAAGTACAATGTACAAAATACTTATGGACAGTATTACAGTTTATTAGGTTAATAATGCAATGAATTATTTGGAATTTATTTTTTCATTTCTTTTCTTTTTTAAGGTTGAATACATTATATGTGAATAGTCAAATAAAAGTTGGTCCTTATCATGAAATTGAAAGGAAAATGTTGATTTTTCATGTGGAAGTTTTTATTTGAAAATTGTTTACTTTTTTATGAATCAATCTTGAAATATTATATATTTAATGAATATATTTTGTTCAAGCAGCAAGTAGACAAAAGTGGAACTAAAGTACGTGGAGAGTCACATTTATTGCTTGTTGGTGATCCTGGTAAGTGTCATCAGTTCATACAATGAATGAACTCCATAAAGTAATTTTTAAAAGATCAGGTGTAATATATATTGATGTACTATACATACAGTTCATTATCATGTAATACCATGAATATTTTATGAAATCATCAATCAACACATCCAAAAACTGACTAAAAAGCTCAGAACAGTTTGTGTAAGTTACTGGAATATACTTCTACTTTCTGGTCAATATTTTGTTTGGCAAGCTACAAAATGTCTGTCAACTGCTTATCAGACTGCAGAGGTAAAAAATTTTTAAATGATAAAATACCCTTTTTTATGATAAAAATTTGTTAATATGGTTTATTGTTATTACATGCAGTAAGTCTGTTGGATTATAACACTAAAAATTGGGTTTTGATACCTGTGGACCACAGCACATATAGTATTTTACAGTTTTGATACACGTGGACCACAGCACATATAGTCCATTGTGTAGCTTTTTGCTTATCAAACAAACAAAAAGCCTCTAGAATTGATCTCTGTTAACTCAATATTTCTCTATTACATTTTCGTTAAGAGCTATTGATAACCTATAAGTTTACTAATTAAGTTCAAACTAAATATGGAGGTATAGGTCATTAGTTTATTTACATTAGTAAAAATGTATACCAATGAACTCCAGTTTGCACTAAACAAGATTTAAGAATAATAGTATCTTCACAAATGTACTCTATATTACTTTTTCTAAATATCTGATACTAGCAAATGTCCATTGAAACAAAAAGTAAATTTTCTAAAATAAGTGATGAATAAATAAAAAACGTGCAGTTGACCCAGTACCTTGGATGACGGTGTATATGCAATATGATTGTCTAATAGGCTGTATTTAGTCATTCCATGTGTTGTTTCAATAATGAAAAATTGCATTGCATTTGTTTTTAAGCAAAGGTAACTGACTGCAATGCACTGTTGGGAAAAAGTTTGGGTTTTTATGCAGTAGGTGCATCCAGCATAAGTGTTCAGGTTCGTTAACTAGCTGTAGGTATTTTTTCAGCTGGATGCCACTGTTCCTTATCATTTTATTGAGCATGAAAAAATCATTGCCAAAGAAAGTGCTTTTTTATAGCTGTCATTTCTATAATAAATGTCAAAGAAGAAATATTGAATTCAATTCATTCTATGTGATACAATAAAATCATGCATGTATATAATATCAGCAGGAAAAAACAACAACAATATAAACCAAATAACAGCAAACATATTTTCAAACACATTCCTCTCTTTATGTGTTTTTTCTGTTCAATCTTCAAAATATTTATTTTAACCAGTTGATAGAGAAAGTCCTGTTCTCGTCATGAAATCCCCTCACAAAATGGAACAGTTTTGGTCTTAATAAGTTTTATTCTCAAATTGACCATTCAGTACATACAAAAAAACTGGCTGTTCAATGTTGATATTGATATGAAATTTGAGGAATTGCAAAAATTAATAATTTTCTTGTAATGTACTCTTGAAAAGAAGCATTTTAATATTTTTTTTTTAATGATTAACTGTTCAGGAGATATGGAGTGTGACATGTGAAAGACAGATGGACATTTGGCTATTATATATACATAAAGATGAATGGTATTTTACAAAGTATGTTGAAATTGAAAGACTGCACAGAGCTATCCTTGCATGCATATCTAATATTTGTAGTAAATCTTTATAAAACTTTATAATTTATGGTACCTTAGTTTTTATTGATTTTCTGTTACAAGATACTGCACTTTTTTTTTTCCATGGCTGGGGTAAGATTTGTAGCAGATGTCTTTTTTAGATGGTTCGTATGCCCAAAGTTGATTCCTATACATTTGTTTTTCAATGCTATTAAGTTAAAGGAATATCCCTATCTTGGAAATTCTAAATCCCTGATCTTACTTTGGAAAAATATGTTAATACCTTTCCCAAAAGCAACCAGTTTTGGATGGCATCACACTACTAAGGAAATTCTAAACTCTGTCAAACATATTTATTATATATGATCTTTCACTGGGCTGTTGTTGGCATATTACTTATTTATTAGCATATTCAAAGTTTTTTAATGTAACACACTGGACCCTCTGTGGAAAACAAATAGTTAAAGAAATTTTCATGAAAAATGTTTCTGTTCGCTAATTAAATATTACTGTTGCTGAAAGTTTGTGGGACAAATTCAAACTCATCTGTATCTTCAAATTGTGCTATGTCAAGTTTTGCTGCCAAAATCCATCACCCTACTTAATTTGACAGCTTAGGAGATTTAGGTTAGTTCTAAATACATATGTTAAATTAACAATACAAAACCATCTTTAAAAGGATCATGCCTCTAAACATTTTAATTTTCACTTCTAAGTTATTATTGTACATCTGTATATGTACAACCTTTGTTAGTATAGATTCATTTTAACAAAATATGCTGTTTAGGAGGAACCATAGCATGGTTATATCTATTGGTTCTCACAACTTCATTTTATTTTAAACAGAAATAGAATCATATTACTTATCAAAACTTGCTACTAAGGTAGTTCTGGAAATTTTCTGGACTGACTCTGTCTATTAGTATGTGTTGTTTTTAGAATTTTTTTTTTTTGCTTATTATTTTAATTCTATGTTAAATGATGAATTCCAGTAGTGTTATTTACTTTCTAAACAAATTCCATGAATTTTTCATAAAAACATTGTAAAGTTTCAAGCATGAAGATTAATGATGGTATGTGATCTTGAATGACTATGCAAAAGATGTTTTTTCTTTGTATTAGGTACTGGGAAATCACAGTTTTTAAAATATGCTGCTAAAATCAGTCCACGTTCAGTTCTTACAACTGGAATTGGAAGTACAAGTGCAGGACTCACAGTCAGTGCAGTTAGGGTAGGATGCTTACCTTTTTTTTATGTGCATTTCATGTCATGAATTATGGAGAAAACTGAAGTGAAATGAAGGAATTGATTTTTATGATGTTTTGGAAATATGTTATACATATATTTTTATAGGAAAAACTTTTAAAAATCTGTAATAGAAAGTTTTGTTATGTAAATATAGTAGCATAGTTGTTTCACGTATTGAGTAATAAAATGAAGTGATCAATCATAATGTTTTTACTGTTTGTTATTGTTGTAGCTCTGCTGAATTTTTATGTGATGTTTCAAATTGTAAAGTAGAATTTTGAATGAATGATATTTGATAAATAATTCACTTGGACACAGTACTAGAGAAAAAGAATTGTATTCCTAGTCAGAAATGGTCAAGTTTATAAAACAACTTCAAGAGGGTAAAGTGATCAAATTTATTATGATGGCTAGCGAAAAAGAAGATAGGAATAATTTGTTAAACTAGCTGCAATGTGGAAAAAATTTACAGTAGTTTTCGTGCCCTTCACTTGAATTTTCCGTATTCTATCATTTTCAGACACATCATTTAAGCTATGCTTTCTTGCAGGCATTGTGTTAGATTGATAACTCCTGGTCTATTTGAAAAAAGCTCACGTAATTGTAACTTTATTTAATAAAACTACGCATAAACAATGAAGTAAAATAATGGTATTTATAATAGTGTACAGAATATGAAACAGTTATAAGCATTCAATGTATGACACGGTTTTATAATTTGAAACAAAGAAACTCAAAAAATGAAGAATAAAACCAGTACTAAAGAAAAAAAAATAACAGGTGTTTGTAGCAGTTTATGAAATGAACTGAAGCTAAATTATTGCAAAGTAAAATAAATGTAAAGTTTTAATGAAGGCAAACTTAGCTGAATATGCAGAAATGTCTGAATGTGTGTTCATAAAATGATAAGCATATGGTTTTGAATGAACTATGCATACATATTTTAGACCTAAATAGTTTATAAATTTAAAAAAGTAATTAAATGTAATTATAATGTTAATGTTTCTCTGTGTGGTGAATCTGCTGATATATATTGCTAATGAACAACTGTGCTCAGATTTAGGTGAAATGATCTGAAACTGTATTTGTACAATATAAATTAATAATAAATTTTAGTGTAAGGTGTAAAGTTTTCTTGATGTTTTAGCTGCTATCTGGACTTGAACAATAAAGGAACACAATGACTCCTTTGTATGCATATAAAATACAATTTTTTTAAACTAAAATTTTTTTTAGGCTAAACTACTGTTTTCATTATGGCCTGTCATCTTGGTTAAACAAAATGCTTTAAATTTTATATCATACTGAAGTTGTGAAATTTATAAGAATAACACATTCTTCAACAATGGAATACAGTGATGGAACTTATAAGAACATTCATTAAGAAAGTTATAAGCAACTACTATTACAGACATGATCATTTCACTTTGTAAGGGCAGATGGTTATAATGAGAGAAATGAAAGATAACATATTGTAAAGTTGCAAGAAAAATAAAAGGGTGTATCTTATATATTTTTACTGTGATAGTTTGTCATAGAGGTCTTTAAAAATACCTTGAAATTTATTTAAAAATTGAAGAATTCCTGCTACAGATAAAAAGATTCACCCTATGTAAAGTATAGTTTGCACAGACTTGGAAAACTCCTTGAATTTTAGTGGAGTCCTGAAACTACTGGACTTCCATAAATTTGTTTTACTCTGGAAAATTCCTGGAATTAAAAGAAGTATTCCTTGATTTTTACTGAAATGTCCCTTGAATTCTTCCTAGAAATAAAAATGGTCTACTTTTAAATTTTATTCCAATGGATTCTACTTTTTTTCCATAAAAATCAATCATTAGCATATTTTTTTAGCAAGGTGGGATTACTATGAACACCACTTCCAGTGTCCTAATAAAGTACATTCTTTGCCTTTTGACAGAAGAGGCTCAAATGAAGATTAAAGATATTCAAATGGCTGGGAGTTAAGGAGCAATTTTTAGAGATTAAGAAAGCCTCTCTTGACATCTTTTATAACTTTCATGATGTTATAAAGCAAGATATGATATGATTTTGGCAAAATACTCCTTGAAAATCTTAAAAAGCCCTGAAAAAAAAAATCTGACAGATCTGTATGAGTCTTATAAAGATTTTAACATTTACTTATACAAGATAACTTATCTTAGAAAGCACACATTAGCTTAACACATTTGTTTATAAAGAAAAAGTCAAGTTTTATTTGTGCTCTCAAAGTTCACTAAAATAATGTTGAATGAAAATAAAATTATAAAAGTTAGTTTCATTTAACGTAGAACTGATGTATGTGTGTGTGTGTGTATATATATATATATATATATATATATTTCATTAAATTTACATTTTAAATCAAGGTTAAGGGGATAAATAATTTCCACACTGAATTAGTCGTTTACTAGTACTAATTTGCATTATTAAATTTAGGATAGTGGGGAGTGGCAGTTAGAAGCTGGTGCTTTAGTGCTGGCTGATGGTGGTATTTGCTGTATCGATGAATTCAATAGCATTCGAGAACATGACAGAGGAAGTATTCATGAGGCTATGGAACAACAAACTATCAGTGTTGCTAAAGTAAGTAATGGACTTTATAAATCAGGTAGTAACAATTAAATACATATGCATTTGCAAATAAACCATTTAAACATGATATAGCTCATTTACCTTTCAAAATTTGTAGTGCATACTGGAGGGATTTATACATTTTGTTAAAAGTTTAGAAAAAACGACCTTTATACTCCAGATAAACATAAAAGAATATATTCTTATTTCAACCAACGTTTCGCCTTTGCAGCTTCATCAGGGTTAATATACAGGTTTAATTAGATATTGTGATATTAGAATATTCGTTAAATTAATTAATTTATTTATTTAATGAATATTCTAATATCAAACAGTTGTGTATATTAATCCTGATGAAGCTACAAAGGTGAAACTTTGGTTGAAATAAAAATATATTCTTTTGTATTTATCTGGAGTTTAAAAGTAATTTGTTCCAAACTTTTATCAAAACATAACTCATTTATACTGTGTAATGACGTGGGACTATTATGCCATAGAAGACTGACATCATGTGTTATTTCATACCAGTTTCTTGTTTTACTGTTCTGTGAAAGTACTGCTACTGTAAGAATTCTACACTAATTTTCAATGTTATAACATTATGCACAAAACAAAAGATTTATCTTCAGAAAACACTCATTTTTAATAACAAAAAAAGACCTAAAGTAACAGCTCTGTGGCACACAATACTAAACTAGCACAAAAAAAGAAAGTTCAAAAAGAAATTAAATTTTATTTCATGTGGGACAGTTATGTCAATCAAGCACATAACACCATCCTGTACTAGCAAGTATGATATGCAAAACTGTGAAAAATGTTACAGATTTTTTATTATTGTTGTTGGAAATATTAACAATAAGGGTACTCAGCTGATAAATCATTGAATTTTTATCATTATAATATTTGTTTTATGATATTGCATACTTCTAGTTAGACTGGTATCTTAAATTAACTAATGGATTGATTTTAAGTTGTGATCTGTGTTAGTAGTTTGCTTTGATCAGAATTTAATAATGATACGTATAAAATGTATTTTTATTTCAGTAATGTCTTAATGTTAATGAAATAGTGCAGAGTATGAACAAAAGAATGAGCAGACAGGTACTAGGTATTTTGCAAGAGTGCATATTTTTTAGTAGTTATATCTATCATTTAGAATGCTTGACCAACTTATGTCAGCAGCTCATATGAAATGGATTCCCTATTTAATTAATTAATGTTTTATTTAATATTAACCTAACTTGAGACACTACATATTTTTCTGTTCATTAGGCAGGACTTGTAACTAAACTCAGTACAAGG